ATATATATATATATATATATATATATATATATATATAATTAGCAAAAACCAGTTTAGCAGTTAAATTTTTAAGAGTTCTATTATCATCAATTTTCAGGGTTAGTTTTAAAAATGAAAAGGTTTCATTTAAAGAATATTGATTATAATTTCATAATTTTATAAAAAATAATATATGCACCAATAATTTAAAATTTTTATAATACATCCAATCACTAATAACTATGGATGATAAATTTGTACACATTTATAATTACTTCTTTTAAAAAAAACGTAAATAATCAGTTTAATTATACTTTTTATTATTCATTTTATATTATTTATGAATTTTGTTATCCAACTTTAAAAATTATATATTTTAAGACGATTATGTTAATTATTACATGTCATGTTATTTTTATCTAAAATTTTGGTGTGACATACATATATATAATGTCCTGATATAATATAATATTTTAATAAGTCATGTTGATAGTTAATGTGTTATATAATGATCAATTAGCAACTAGACAATTAATTAAAAGAGTGTCAAATTATATGAAAATTTAAATGTTTGATGAAAAAATTTGTTATCTGGAATGTTGTAAAATTCACAAATTCAATATGATAACTGGTTTTAGAACAAGGATGCATTTTTCTGAGTCAAATTAATAGCAGTTTGTGGACTATGATAAAATCTAGAATTAGTATGTTCGCAAAATATAAAAGGGATTTGCTAAACTCTAAATGCTTATGTAACTAAGATCGATCTATATATAGCTATGGTAATAAATTATTTATATCGTGTGCCTCATAAATTTCTTAGTTAGCTAGCTCTATTAGATATTTTTGAGATTGGAGACTAAAACAGTTGTCTGTTTGAGAAATTTTTTTTTTTTTTGTGTTTAGTTACAAAATTGTTACTTTTATTTTAATCTTGTTTCCAAAAGATTTTGTGCAGGAAATAGTTAAAAAAAAAATCAATTTTCATTATTTTATGTTTTCAATTTTATACAAACGTTTGAAAATAGAATATAAAGTGCAATTAATGTGTCAATTTTGTAGTTGAAAGTAAAAATAGATAACTAAAATCGTTTTTCTCAAAAAATATTATCCTTAAATTTTGCAATATTAGTAGAAGCAAAAAGTTTGGAGATGGAAAATGTGAAAAATTTTAGTTTTGATGAAGTATTATTGCTGGTATGTATTGGCCCTTTTTTTTTATTTTGTAAAAATAACATTTTAGACTTTTTTCTTATCCATAAATGGCCTTTTAGATTTAAAACCAGTTAAAAATATATATTAAGATAAAATTTAATTACAATTTCTTAAAAGCGGTTGATATTATTCTTTAATTAGAATTAAAGTTTTATCTTACTTATATACATTTGTATTTAAAATAAATCAATGTATATAAAATAAATCTTATTAACATACTTTTATGTATGTTATTGAAGTAAAATTTTAGTTTTAATTATAGAATAATACCAACTATTATAAAGGACATGTACCTAACTTTTGTTGAATATATTACTCCTTTCAATTCTTTATATAAGAAATAAATGATCATACTTTTTGGTCCAAATTACGAGGAGCAAATAGCTACTAAAAGATGCTTTAATTTTTAATTTTCTTTTATATCTTATTCTAGTACGTTTATCTCAACATGTATATGTATTTATTAATAATTGGTGTTGGCTATGACATTATAGTATTTCATGACTTCTTATCCCGCCGTTTATGAAAAATAAACTCTTAGACTATTCCCAAACAATTATAGCATGATATGTATGGGTCGGCCAATATCATTTTTGCTTAAGATCTGCTTGCCTGGGGTCGTGACTCCGCATCATTACTATCATAATGCATATTTCTTGGTGGCTACGAAGTTCTCTGGCACTACCTTTTCTTGACTCATGATGATGTCTTCATCAGCATTTAGACATCTTAGGTTAAAGTATGCAGAAGACACCTTAAGGATGAAAAATTTACAACTCATGTACTCAAAGATATTGCTCTTCAAATGCCTGGTTCTAGGTGCGTTGCTTTTGAAACTTTACAGTTTACAATGAACTTTTTTTTTTTTCAGGAGAAAAATAGAATGGCTTTGGAATTATTTATTGGCTAAATGAGAGACATTTCATAAGATATTTATATTATGTGAATTTATACCGGAGAGAGACACTTTATTTTGTTGTTTATCTTTTCCTCCAACGGTTCTTGATTTGTTTAATCTTCTTTAACTCTCGACTTTTTATTTATTTATTGAAAAGTCAGCTCCGCATGACATTTCTGTTTCTCTTTATTGGGCAGATCGAGAAACTTTGCTAGGTCTTCAGCTGTCTTTAAAAAGCCAATTCGATTAAATTATATACTGACTCAACAAAAAAAATTGTTGTCAGTCACTTTCAAAGAGAACATGACATGTCTCACGATGGAATTTCACCCTCAAAGTGAGGATATATAGGTTTATATGGTCATATCTATTAGTGTTTCTATCTAGTAAATTGTGGCTGAAAAAAAAAGGACATTGTTATTTAGCAACTCCACAATTACAGCCATCAATTTTATGTAGCTTAATTAGTGATTATAGAGGTACTTGTACACCGTACGCGTACACCGTTACGGTTGGTGGTAGTTATAGAATATAGATAGGTGTGGTTGCTTCAAGTCAAGAATAAAGAGAAAAGCGAAAGGGAAAGAAACACCTTTTAGTGGTCAGGTTGCACGATTGTCGCATTCGCATCAGATCAAGTTGCTGTCAGATATTACCCATAACGAGTCGTATACGAGTTAAATGTGACTGGAAGTGCTACCTTCCTCAATATGATTGTGAACTATCCTCGTGTAGTGTTGTTGTCTTCGATGACTAGACGGTGTGGATGTGGAACCCAATCCATAAATGCCTTTGCCTTGCATTTAGTATATTGACTACATACACAACAAATACATGATCAAAGGAGCAAACGATGTTATGTCTGCATTATCATATTAATCTAGTGTTTTATTTTCATGATGTTGACTCACGAATCCATGTAATAATGCATGATTGGACTTGATCCATATCTAAATAGTTAATATATATCTCGTTATCCATGTCCTTCTATTGCCCCTGCATTGGATGGGCCAATAATCCTTGTCATGATTTGGTTCAGGTTGAAGTGGAGCTAGCACAGAGAAAATGCGTGCATCTTTGTTTTCTGCATACTCTGAACAAGTAGGCCACAAGCGGCAGCAATTTTTTTCTTTTGGCAGCAACTCCCTTTTATAGCCATCGAGAAGCGAATCTAGTATTCATGCATGGGTCGGTAGCAGGTAATTATCTATCTTGGGTCACATATATATATATATATTGACCTTGAGCTAGCTAAGATATATTTATCATTCATTTAGTGATACATATATTATGTATGTATACAATACAGTATAGATTATGATATAAACACTAGCCACTGTGCATAATGTATATTAAAGCAGCTCCCCCTAGGCTTTGTTTTGAACCAAAAATTGTCCTTCATATTGTAGAATTGATATGAAAGCTAAATGGTAGGTAGTAGAGTTTGATGAGCATTATTTATTAATCTATATATGCTGAATAGTTGATATATATATATATATATTTTTTGATATATAGATTTGCGGAGGCATTAATTAAGTATAAGTTGGTGGTGTGTATGTACGTGGGGTTGAAAAAGATAGGGCAACGGTAAATAGGAATGGTGGTGCGCAATCAGTTGCGTGGAATTCGATATTGCTTGGGAGTCGGCAGGCCACGTTACTTTATGCCACTCACTCCACTTTCCACTTTCCACTTTCCACTCCTTTCCTTTTCAGATTTCACCCTCTCTCTCTCTCTCTCTCTTTTCATTTCCATGCTTTTCCTTCTTTCTTTATTCTCTTTTACCGCTTGTCCCCTCGCCATTATGGTATATTTGGATTATATTATGTAAATCATTGCTTAATTCAACCAGAAAGTTGGAAATTATATCTTTAAAATTTTCAATTATTATCTGTTTTAACGTGCGTGTTATATAACTTCTCCTGTAGTAATTTCACTTTTGTTCGGTTTCTTACATTTTTCTTTTTTTAATTATTATTTACTTTCATTTTATATATAGAAAAAATCAATTCCTTTTATTGATTAATGTTGTGACTGGTTGCGCTTTTTAACGAATATTAATTTTTAAATTAGATTTTATTCTTTTTATTGAATGTCAACTATGATCATTTCTTAGGTATTATACTATTAAGTATCAAATTGCATGAGAAAATAATTAAAGTCGTATAGAAAATATATAAGAGAATATGAATTTACCAAAATATACATAAAGAGAATGTCAAAATATAAATTAAAAAATATTTTTATTTGTATTTAAAGTAAATTATCATCAAACTGAACCAACTAATTTTTAAAAAAAAAAAACCAATAGTTATTCTTATTTAACTTCTTTACTTTGATCGTAAATTTAAATTCTTTTAATTAATCAAGCAAAATTGATTATTATTATTATTATTATTATTATTATTATTATTATTATTATTATTATTATTATGTGAGAAAATTTTGCTTGAACTGTTTATGAATATATTCTAATTTTAAAATTAGTTGTATAACCGTTGAAAGAATAACTAATTAGTATATCAAAATCACTAAGTATGAAAACTATGATATTCCAAATTAAAATGCATGTTATTATTTGTCATGTGTTAGCTGTCAGATTTGTAGGAACTGGAGATTTGTCGGGCGCACGAGGGTAACCCTAACCAATCATCATTCTATATTTTTCTTAAAATATTGATTCAATTTTCACAATATATGTGATATATACTTTCTTCATTTCATAATAAGTTATGTGAGTCATGGCATTTCTAAAACCACTCTCTGAAAGAATATTATAAAAAATATAAATTGAAAAATTAATTAATTAATACTGCGTTAAAATATTAACATAATATTTATTTTAAAACATATATTTTTTTCAAATACAACTATTATTATAGAGTGGAAAGAGTATCACATTTCATTCGACCAATAATTTTTAATGGATTGATTGATCCCAAAATTTGAGTAATGTGAACAACAATTATTTTGAACGTGATGAATCAATTCGTTCATTGTAGTGAAGGCAAATTTCTTCATGTTGTTAAATCATGAGAGAAGGCTCATAACATCTGACAATTATCGAAATAGATGGGGGGATGCCCCTTAAATTTATTAATGTAGTTCTTTACTACATGCATGACAACTATTTGATTTTGCCATTTTGGTAAGTAAACAACACCTTATATTTATGTTTAGGGAAAAAAGTTGGAAATTTTTACGGAAATAATATTTTTTAAAAGAAAAATTACAAAAATGACACATCTGCAAGTTTATTTACAGGAATAGAATGGTTTACTGTTCATGCTCGGAATTCGATTTTCCAGGAACCGAATTCTGAGCTTCAAATTTTTATTTTTTTTTCTTCTCAGAATTCAGTTCCCCGGGAACCGAATTCTGAGTTAGTTTTAATTTTTTTTTTCGTGTTTCTGGCCCATTTTGGGCAAATGTTGGAAGTAGAACGGGCCGTTCTGCTTAAAGAAACAAAGTCTTTTTTTTGAAATTAAAACGGGCTAAGAACGGCCTGTTTCGAAATCGGAACGGGCCGTTCTTAGCCCGTTTTAATTTATAAAAAAAAGACTTTGTGTCTTTAAGCAGAACGGCCCGTTTCGGAAGAAGAACGGGCCGTTCCACTTTCAACATTTGCCCAAAATGGGCCACAAACACGAAAAGAAAAAAAATTAAACTAACTCAGAATTCGGTTCCCCGGGAACCGAATTCTGAGAAGAAAAAAAAAAGAAAAAAAAATTTTAAGCTCAGAATTCGGTTTTCGGGAATGGAATTCCGAGCATGAACAGTAAACCATTCTATTCCTGTAAATAAACTTGCACATGTGTCATTTTTGTAATTTTTCTTTTAAAATATTATTTACGTAAAAATTTCTGTTATCCGATAAATGGAATTAATATAATGACTTTTTCAAAAACCAAAATGAAATTTTTAAAAATATTTTTCTAGAATTAGAATAAAGGCTTGTTCTACTAAGTTATTGACCAGATTACAAGTTGCACTTTTTCCTCCTTATTGTCTAGACTAAGTCAGCTTACCTAGCAAGAAAATTAATTAGACAAATGCTGTGAACATATTTTTTTATCAGTTAAAATTATTGAAAATGTTTGTAGTTTTTAATTAATCTATCATAATTTTATAATTTTTAATAAATTTCAATCGATAAAATAGAAAATGTTAAACATATGTGTGAAAAAAGATGTCACTATCAGTCTAGCACTCTTTGTTTAATAATAATATTGTTATCTTCATCTTAATGGTTGTGATCAAAGAGTGTGACTAATTTATTCTCTCTTTAATTTTATTTTGTCACTAAGTATCTCTAGTTTAATAACTCAAAAACTAATCTCACTTGTGATATAACAAATGTTGTTAATTCCAAGAATTTTTTTACTCGATGTTGAACATGAGATTTTTTACTAAATAGATTATGTTCAAAATATGTGAGTAAAAAATATCCAACTATTATACCAATTTATTGTACCTGTTTGACCAGCCTAAGCATTTTTTTTGTCTTTGTTTAATTATTTTTTCAAACAAATTTGTGAGATTATATAATCCTCAAATTAAATATGACGGTTAAACTCCTATTTCCTTCATAGATAAAATTTGTAAGATCTACAAACTCTAACTTTAGTTTTTTTTATTTAAATATTTATAGTTTTAAATATTTATTACGTCTGCAATGTATTTTTTTAAAATATAGTGAATTCAATTAATTAAGGTTAAAAATATATTTAATGAAATGATTTTAATATTGACATTTTTTTTATATATACAACAAATATCTTTTTATTAAAGATAATAATATTTGAATCGGATACCATAGTAAAATTTTCGTTTAGAGTATTCAACATAATTATAAATCAATACTCAAATCCCGATACTATTATTTAATTCAAAATTTTATTTTTAATAAAACTAGTTAATAAATACATTTTTATTTGGCATAAATTTTAAATTTTAATTAATTGATTAGTTAGTTACACCCAATGAATAATCATTACATTATAACCTAATATAATTATTTAAATATGGTGAATAATCATTACATTATGAGCGAATATAACTATTTAAATGTGTAAGAGTAAACAACATCAAATAATCATAACCGACATGTTTAGAAGATATTTTATTTTCTATACAAAGTAAAATGATATGAAATATGAAAATTTAGTGCTATGAGTTTTATTAAATTACATTATTTAATTAAATTACATAATTATGTATTTAGTTGTTTTATTATTGTAAGATTTTAAGAATTAAAAAAAATTATAAGTTCTGTTGTTTAAGAATTATTTTGAGTTGAAAGTATAAATATTTTTCTTAAAATTTAAACTTCATATGAGAGGTTTTCAAGTTAAAAAGAAAAGCTCTAGAGTCGGAGGCGTTTTTGTTGTTGTTGTTGAAAAATCCTTCTTAAATATAATTGTCTCTTGAAGTGAGGTGTTGAGTCTCCTTTAATTTCTTAATTGATATTATATGGGGGTAAGGTCAACAATTTAGAAGTGATCAACCGAGTAAGGTACAAAACTCCTAACTACTAAAAGGGGTACAATATTTTGAAGATAGTCAGTGAACTAATTACATATCATCTTAATTATGCAAGTTAATATCATGATAGACTCACATCAAAGCTATTATATCCCTAATAGGAATATTGGACTTTCCTAGTCTAAGTGATGAAATTCAAGAAATCATGTTGTCTTGTGGTAGGATCAAACCATTTACTGCTTACCATATTGTAAAAGATCTCTTAGTTTATATGCATGACGAGGCATTGAGTTTATTGTGTTGTTAACAAGTTGTGTTGTTTATATACAATATTGATATGACAAAACATGTTAAGCTGATAATTGTGTTAGAATGTTGATTTGTTGTTTTTTTTCTATAATATGTTGATGTTCTAAATGTGTAATTAAGTCAGGCATTAATTAAGCCATATTCATGTTGAATTGAGATTATACTATATAATGTTCATAAGATGAGTTGATAATATAGTTTTATTTTCTTCTACTGTTGCTTTAACTTCTATAAGCT